CGCAGCCCAGGCTGGGCCTGAGCTCCGGGCAGCAGCGGGTCATCCTCTGCTGGCTGCCACGTGAGATCTGCCGCGATCACGCACTTCCCACGCCCGGGCGGCCTCTCTCTCTGCTGGCTTCTCGGCACGCAGCCAGCACGGACGGCCCCCCGGGTGCCAGGCAGCGCTCGCTGGTCAGTGTGGTCTCCCAGGCCGGAGGGGCTGCGGCCGGATTCCCCACAGGGAGCAGGGCCAGCTCCAGCCAGCGAGGAGGGCGAGCCAGGCCCCCTCCCGCCACGTGCCTGCAGCGCCGCGCAGGCCCGGGGTGCGCCTGGCAGCGGCCTGTCAGTCCCAGGGCTGCGGAAGTGGAAAAGCAGACGCCGCCTGCCCCGCTACCTCTGATTTAGGAAGCAGAGAGGCTTTAAAACCCTGACTTGCCCGTGTGAGTCTGACGTGCAAGGGCGCTAACGGCCCTGGCGTGGGCCTCGCTGGCCGGCCCGGGGCCGCGGGGAAATGCACTTCCGTCGCTAATCAGAACTTGGAGGGCAAGGATCAAATAAATCTCAAATAATCACGTTGTATTTTTGATGAGGGAAATGAGTGTGTTTTATGCCCCGAACACATGGCGTCCGGTTCAGCACTTGGTGAGGCCTGGAAAAGCATTTACTCGGGAACCGGTGTTTGCAACGCGTTCGTTTTGCTTCTTGCGTGATGATTACACCCTTGGGCACATCTGCTTGAGGCCGTGCGAGGAAATCGGAGGTTGGGCCGAGGGCGGGCGGAGCGCGGTCACGCCGCCAAGAGACAGCCCCGGAGCCCCGGGCTCATGTCGAAGCTCCTGTGCCCCCGGAGAGGGAAACCCGTCCCGCACAGTCCGCGGGCACCCAAGGCGGACACAGCTGACGCCCACCAGGCCTCGGGCGCCGCTCCCGGCCCGCTGGGCCTGTGCAAGGACGTGACCTCGGAGACGCCCCCAGCACGTCCGGGGAGGGGCCCAGTCCGGCGGCTCCTCGGCAGAGGGCCTTCCCAGTCCGAGCAGTGACAGTACCCCCGCCCCCCGCGCGCTCCGCCCCTGAGAGCCCTCGATTCCGACCACGCAGGGCCGCCGGGCACCTCGCCTGCCTCCTCAGCGGGCGGGATCAAAGGTCAGCGTGAGGAAAGGGGGAGAATGGAGCGGCGCAGCTGCCGCCAGCGAGCGCGGCCTGCTTCCTGGGAGGGCCCGCGTGGCGCCCGGCACGCCCACGCCCACTGCACAGCCACGGGCACGCGAAGGCCGCGCTGGCCTCACGGGCAGCGGCACCGCGCAGGGCGACCACTAGGGGCCGGCGGTCCGGGGAGGCCGCCGGCCGAGCTGGGCCGGTTCCCACGCTGGCGGGCTGGACGCGCCCGGTCCCTTGCGCCTTACGACTGGCCGGCTGCGAGCCGGCAGAGGACCGGTCACCTGGGAGGAAGGCGGCTGCCCAGGCGGGGGCCTGATCTGTTCACAGAGCGCATGGGCGGTGTGACGAAACACGGTGACGGAGGGCAGGGAACCAGCTCGAACCCGGAGCCTGGGCAGCGGAGCTGGGGGTCAGATACGCCTGGCAAGCGCCCGGGGCCGCGGGGGGCGGGGGCAAGGTCGTGCCCCCAGCAGGGAAAGACCAGGCCACCCACCCTCCGGGGACATCCGCCCGGCCCCTCGTCGCCTGCGGAGAGCGCTCCCCGCACCTGCCACAGCTGAGGACACCATTCCTGACGCCACCCCCGGGGCGCAGAGGTGTGGCTAGTCTGGTCGTCTCTGGGAAAAGCGGAAAGGGCTCCAGGAAGGTGCATCAAAAATATGAGGCACCCTCACCCGAGGACACGTTTGTTGACTTCAGAGAAAGAGGGAGGGGCGGGGTGGACGGGGAGAGGCCCTCGGGTTGACTCGTGTGTGTCCCGACCAGGGATGGAACCCGCAGTCCCGGTGCGCGGGCCGACACTCCCGCCGGCCGAGCCACCGGCGCGCGTGGGAAGGTGCGTTTTTGAAGAAGGATGCCAAGGCACAAGGGAGAAGGGGCCGGGTTAGAAAACGAGCACTCGGCAACCCCCGCGGAGGCCGGGCCCGGCAGGATCCTCTGGGTTGCCTCACCCCCGGGGAAGATGCGGGTGGAGAACAGGACTCGCGCGTCTCGCCACGGTTTTTCTTGTAGAATGTCTGCTGTTCAGCGACTGGCTTTCCTGAAGTGACAAGCAGGGGCCCTGGCCAGGTGGCCCAGGGGTCAGAGGGCCACCGGACACGCTGAGGTCGCAGGTTCGAGCCCTGGCCAGAGCGCACGCGAGAATGAACAGAGCACAAAAATGAGTGGGGCAGCGGCTCACTCTCCCCTCCCCTGCCTTCTTCCCTCTCTAAGAATCAATAAGTTAAAAAACTAAGAGGAAGGAAGAATGACAAAGGTAAAAAGGCACCTTCCCAAAGGACGCGCTTGACCAGCGGCCCGAGCTGCGCCCGAGCCCGGGCCTGCCGCCCACTGAGGTCCGCGCCCTCCGGAGGCCTGCGCGAGGGAGGCTAAGGAACAGCGGGGGTGGGGGCATCAGAGAGAACAGAAAGGAAATGCAGTGCGTGAGCTTGGTCGCATTCTCTCCAGGAAAAGTGGAAAAATGCAGCTGCAGGAGCCTGACTTTGGAACAACGGGCGGAGTCACACCGGGCCTGTGGGCCAGGGCCGGCTGCACGAGCGAGCATCGTGAATGCGGGTGTGACGATGGCCGGAAGGGCGTCCCGTCTCGGGAGACCCCCTGGGGGCGCAGGAGGGAAGCGTCAGGATGTCTGGGCTTCCCAACGATTCCGCCACGGTGCGCGCATGTCTGTGTGCAGGGCGAGCCGAGGCAGATGCGTCCGTGTGGAGGGCAGTCACGAAGAACAGCACAGAGCAGACCCTGCGGTCGCGGCCTCACCACTGTAAACCTGCCCCCGCCCACCTGTCCGGAAGAGAGAGAAACCAAGGGCGGCAGATGTTAATAGCAGGCGCCCCAAGAAGGTAAGAGGAAGAACGCGCTGTCTCCGGAAACTCTTGCGACAAATAAAATGAAACAATCCATATACGTGACTTTCCACAGAGGATAATTTTTTAAAAAAGATTTTATTTAGTTTTTAGAGAGGGAGGAAGGGAAAAATAGAGGGAGGGAAACATCGATGGGTTGCCTCTCACAGGCCCCCAGCTGGGGCCCTGACCGGGAACCTAATTGGCGACCTTTCATCTCACAGGCCGGCGCTCAGGGCACTGAGCCACACCAGCCTTCACGTGGGCCAGAGCCGAGTCCCTTCCTGGGTCTGAACGTCACTCCCCAGCAAGGGGCGTCCCGGTCCCCACTCTGGTCAGGGGCTGGCGGGGCAGCAGGCCCAGGCATGGGCCGCTGGCAGGCAGGAGCCCGGGGCCGGGAGGGCGCCTTGTGCCGGCCCCCAGGAGCGGGATAGAGGGACAGGCTGCCGGGGGGGGGGGGGAACCTCGCCCGCGCCTAGGGGAGCGGGAAAGCAGAGCGCCGTCAGCCGTGGGCGCAGGGGCCCGCACCCTCATGGGGACGTGTTCAAGGTCGCACCGTGGCTCCAGGGGGCCCGGACACACGGGGCATTGTTCCCCAGGCGCACACAGCGGCGGCGCTCCTGGGGCCACCTCGGAGCGCTTTACGCTGCCCCCCCCACCGTTTCCCTTTCATCACCTTATCGTGCCAGCATCATTTTTCATCATTTACGCAGCTCTGCTCAAGATAAACGGCACCTCGTGACGGGCCCCTCCCGCCAGCCCCCTTGCGCAGCCCCTCGGACAGAGCGTCGGGGTGAGAACCGGCACAGCCCCCCATTCCCAGGCCCGCGCCACCTCCCCGGACACCCAAGTCCGCCCGGCTGCCAGGACACCCGCTGTACCCGCGTGCGTGCCTCGGGCCCCCTCCGGCCCCTCGCCCTCGCCCCGCAGAGGACTCTGGGGACTCCCAGCCCTCGCGTGGGCTCCGCTGTCTCCTGCTGAGCTGCCTGGCCCCTTCCTCATCCTCTTCCTCACCCACCGCCTCCGCCAGGGCCTCAGGCCACACCTGGGGCCGACTGGTCTGCGCCCTCAGCCCCGATGCCGCCGGCTCCCGGCGGCCAGAGCCTGGCCCCGTCCTGGGAAGCCCCCCAGCCTGGCCCCTTCACTTAAAGACCCGGCCTACCCAGCTCCGCGGGGGCGTCTCCAGAAATCCTCCTCCTCCCACCGCCCCGGGTCTGTGGCGTCACCGCTGACCCCGCAGGTCATGGGGACTACCTGGCTGAGCTCGGCGGCCCGCACCCCCGCAGCACTGCGAACTGTGGCCGCCTGTGAGGACACGGGAGCTGCATTGGAGTGACAGCCTCTCCTCCCTGCAAGGGGCGCAGGGTGGACAGGTGTTCCGGCCCTGGCCCCTCGGGGGCGCTGTTCACACTTGGTCGACACCCAGCAGGGGCCTGGTGCTGAAACCCCAGCAGGAGACAGAGGCTCCTGGCACCCTCCGCACCCCCGCCCTCCTCCTCCCCGCCCTGGGGGATGGGCCTGAGCATGCGCTTGGGCCCCGAAGGCAGCTCTGGGCAGGGGAAGGGCAACGTCTCCGAGGCCCCGAGGTTAACCTGGTGCTGGGCTTCTGTTTCCTGCACGTGTCAAACCCAAGTCCTTGATTTAGAGACGCGTGGAGGCTTTGGGACGCACGTCAGCCTTCCCGTCTCAGGCTGCGGAGGGTCGTGTGGACGCTGCGTGAAAGCATGCGAGGCCGGGCGGCCGCGTGGGCGAACTGCACGCTGCAGGGCTTGTGTGTACGCGCAGCGTGGAGAGCAGTGCGCTCCACGCACGGTGCCTCTCCGCAACAGCCGAAGGCGACAGTCCCATCAAGTCTGCAGCGCTTGAGAGGGACGCACACTCCGGAGCCGCAGAGCAACGCCGCCCGCGAGCCGGGGCGGGGGGCGGGGCAGGGGGCCGCTGGGCGCGCCGCAGGCTCCGGCTCCCTTTGCCGCCGCGGCAGGGGGCGCGCCCCGCTAGGCGCGCGGTTCCTAGCGGCCGGCAGTCTGCCGACCTCCGGTCGCTGCACCCTGGCCCCAGCTCAGCAGAGCCCCCAGGAGCCCCTCGGAGAGTTAGGAAAGTGCCCCACGACCCGGAGTCCCTCGAGGGGCCGCACGACTGACTCACACAGGGAGGAGCGAGCCTCCCCGAGTCCCGGCTTCCGGAGTCACAAGAGCCCGCACGCGCCCGGAACTGCGCCCACACTCGCGCGGCTCAGGCGAGCTGCTGACGTGCCCAGGATACGTGCGTTCCCAATACTTGATGATCAGTCGAGTATCAGGCACCACGTTCAATGGATGGTTTCTGAACTCTTAACCGATGTGTAAGGTGAAAAGCCGGGCAATTTCTTTGTAACTGCGCCCTCTGGTGGCCCACCTCGTCTCTGAAGCAAGCAGAGGTTCACACGCGTGCACATGTACTTACACGCACCTGTCTCCTTGCTCAGAAAACATTGCCCAGGGTCAGCGCACGCCTCCTACACGCACACAAATGGTTTACAGCACCAACCCAGAATAACCTTGCATCCAAAAATTATCTCAAAATAGAGTCTCAAATACAACAGCAGCCCGCGGCGCCGGCTACAGCCGCAGCGAGGCCCTCCCCTGCAGAGCCCTGGTGGCGAGCTCGGCTCTCTCCCTCAGCGTGCTGGCCTCCTCGGCGGTGCGGGGAGCCCGTGCGCCCTTCAGCAGGAAGTGGCCGATGAAGAGCTTCAGGCCTTCGCGCAGGACGCCCAGCTTCGGGTTGTCCGACACCCTGGAGAGGAATCGCAGGGGCTGTCAGCCGCGGGCTCTGCCCAGGTCTCCGCCCTGCAGTCTCGGGCAGGGGGCAGGACCTGGCTTCTTTCACAGAGAACTCTCAAGGGAGAGCGTGGCATTCTGTTTGCTAGAAATCAGTACCCGATTACTGTCGCACAGGCTTCCGGTTCCCAAAGTGTGATGTGCAAGGCATAGCTTAAAACTAAAATGGACAGGGACCTCAGCTGCGCGCAGAGCTCGGCGTCCCTGCCTCGACCAACCAGCCCGGGTGCGGACAGCGCCCATCCCCTTCCCAGGCCGCGCCAGGACAGGCTGGGGCGTACCTGGTGAAAATCACACCCAGGTCTTCAACTTCTGTTTCCATCAACAGCATACACAGCACTTGCCGTAAAAAGTGGACTCTGGGCTTGTCCAACTCGCTGAACTCAACCACCTAAAAGGGTTGGGATAGGGAAAGAATAGCCACGCTGACTGAGCCAGCGCTTCCGATAGTTTCCAGTTAGTGCGAATCCCCCCTTACGTAAGGCCACGTCCTGCCGTACACAGTGACCCATGACTGCAGGACGTGCGGACGGGGGCGGGGGGGCGCCCGGGCGCTGCGTTCCTAGAGCTGAGCACGCCGAAGGCGAGGCCGGACCGGGCCCCGGGACAGTGCAGCCCCGCTCCCAGTTCCCCTCCCTTCGCAATGGGGTCCAGCGGCCCCCCATGCTCGGCTCCATGCGCCGCATTTTCAGTGGCCCACGGCTGACCGCGGTGCAGAAGAATCAATTCCCCAAAGCCCGGGCAACGCCACGGCTCCGTGGCCCAGGGTGACCGGGGCAGAGGGTCCCCGCCACAGGGTCACAGGGCCCGCTGCGGCCTGGCCCTGCGTCACACGCCTGCCGTACAGACTCGCTCCGTGCCGCTGCCCTCACCGGCAAGGCCGGCACAGGACAGCGAGGCCTTTGAGGACCGCGGCCACCACCCCGCAGCGTGCCGCTGCGCCGGCCCTACTGCATTGGGAGCTGTCGTTGCTCGCCTCTCACTGTGCTCGATCCGCATGTTAAACTTCGCCGCAGGCTCACACGCACAGGAGGAAACGCAGTGAGCGTGGGGTCCCGCTCTGTCTGTGGTCCCAGGGCTGCATGGGGACCCCGGGGCACCCGCCGCGGGTGGAGGGGGCCCCGCGAGGCTCAGCCTTGTCTTCGGCACAGCAGCCAGGCTCCCCGGCACACCCCGGAGACCGGCGGCCAGCCGGAGCGAGCACGCTGGCACCGGGCAAGGGACACAGGAAGCCACAGGCGGCGCCGGCCCTGTGCGTCAGGAGGAGATGGCACGGGGGTGCAGCCCAACCCCCACCCGGCCTTCGGGCTCCCTCACGGCCCACGTTTTCAGGACTCATGACCCCGGCGGCCCCGTGGCCCAGGCCCCATCTGCAGGCCTTGCCGCCCACCACGGACCCACACCCGGGCGCCTGCCCCTCACGGCTCTGACGCGGCGTGGGAGCCGGACGGGGGCGCCAGCGTGCCCCGCGGCGGGGGAGGGGGGGGGAGGCTGTGGCTCGCGCCAACGCCCGAGGGGCCTGCGCCCTCACCCCCCGACTCCCAGCGCAGCAGCGGCCAGCGCAGGGCGCCGTCAGGGCCGCACGGACACCCTCCGCGACGCCGCGGTGCCAGGCCTCTGCCCACCAGGGGGCCCGCGGCAGGGCGGCCTGGCTGGCTCCTGGGGCGGAAGCGGCGGCGACAACGCTGTTCAGGACGGCAGGACGCGCACTATCTTAAGGTGCCGCATACAAACAACGGTGCTGTCGCTCTCCTTGCTTCCAACAACTTCACTTACTACACGAACCTTTAAGATGGAGAGTGGAAGCGATTTTGTCTTCAACAAGTGGGCCACCAGGTGAACCAAATTGGAGAAATTAGTGGCTGGCAAATTTTCCAAGTCCCGAAATTTGTCCCACATGCTGAACTGGAAAGTCATCTAACGTAAGAATGAAAAAGAAGAAAAAAGTGTAAATGCAACAAGTATTAGAATCAATCACGAAGGACACAGCCGCAAGGTGCTCTGTGCAGCCGCCTGTTTTACTGTCCTCGGCCAGCCTCGGAGGGCAACCGCCCGCCACGTCCCTCACACCAGCGGGGCCCGGACACAGACGGGGCAGCATCGAACCAGAGGACGCCGGCAGCCAGCAGGCGGGGACGGCTCCTCGCCCGGGACCAGAAAGGGGGCCGGAGGCACGGCTCGTGCCGTCCCAGCTGCTCTCCCCGCGGCCTGACTCAGGACGCCCACAGAGGGGCCGGGCCGACGGTGCTTAGAGGGGCCGGCGGAACGCAGGGGCCTGCTGGCCGTGCCGGGCTACCTGGAACCTCCTCTCGTAGGCGCAGAGCTTGCCGGCCAGGAAGGCGTAGAAAGGGTTGTAGGTCTTCTCCTGAAGGCAGCAGTCCACGAGCACGTGGACCACTTCCCTCTCCTGCTGGTCCTTAAGCCCGAGCCTGCAACACACAAATGGCACCAGAGCAACCTTCACTTTGCCCAACCCGAGCAGGTTCAAGGCAGAATCTTTCAAAGCGTCGCACCGTCTGGCAGTTGGTTCAAAGGAAGCTGAGCGGAGCAGTTGGCCGTAACAAGAGGACAGGCCTGGCCCTGTCCTGTGTTTCTGACTGTGGTGACCGCGGGGGGACACCCATCTGAGTCCTGTGCCGGCAACAAGGGCCTCTCCTGGTTCCCGAACGACAGGAAACGGGGCCGACACTCGGCTGCGGCCCTGAGGCCGGCGCTCGCCACTGCCGGCTCTCCGCGCGACGCGCCCCCTCCTGGCGTCCGGTGCTGTAACGTGTCCATCTGTCCCGTTCCCAATTTGAAGCAAATGAGGAAAACGACTACCAGATACACTTAGTAGCACCTTGTAAAAGTACACAGGGGCTTTTCAAATGTGCACTGCATCTACTCAACCTCTATGAGGCCGTTTTAAATTCAGAATTAGACATTTTTAATCTGGAAATTTTAAGCAATTCATGGCAACCGAAAGCCACTGAGAATTGCCAGCTGGTCACCTAACAGCCTTTTTTTCTTTTTCTTTTTTTTAAAGGTTTTATTTATGCACTTTCAGACAGAGAAGGGGAGAGAGAGGGAGAGAAACATGCTTGTGGTTGCCTCTCGCACGCCCCCTACTGGGGGCCTGGCCCGCAGCCCAGGCCTGGGCCCTGCCTGGGAATCGTGCTGGCGACCCTCTGGGGACCCTCTGGATCGCAGGCCGGCGCTCCGCCCGCTGAGCCGCATCAGTCAGGGCCAACCTGGGAGCCTTAACGAAAACACACTATAACCTGGAACTACCAGCGGCCGATGGGCAGGAGCAAGGCTGCGGAGCCCAGACGCCAGGGCCAGGGCCAGGGCCAGGGCGAGGGGTGGGCCGGCCCAGCCACCCCACCCTGGACGAGCCCCACTTCCTCCGACACCCGTCCGACGGGGGTCAAGTGCTCACACAGACACTCACTTTAGAAGCTTTTCAAACGCGTCCAAGAAATCTTCGCTCGTCATAATCGTACAAAAGATGCTTCTCCTGACATCGGTGTTCATTCTCTGCTTCCGGGCGAGTTCCAGCATCTCCGCGCTAACCTGAGAGCAGGCACAGCCGAGGCGCGGGTCACTCGCTCACTTTAAGGAGCCCCGCCGCTCTGGGTTAGCTGGAGCGGCTACCATTCGGTCTCTAAAGACGTGCGTGACTGTGGCTCGACCTGAGTGGGACTGTAAACTGCACGCACGCAGACGTCCCTAAACGCCATGCTCGTATTCTCGGGCAGCTCGACCGGGAGCCACAGCAGCCCGGGCGGGGAGCTCCGCGGGGCTCGGGGACACCCGCAGCGAGCCTGCCTGTCGGCTGAGCAACGACGGCGCACGCAGAGTCGCGCGGCCAACAGCCAGGAGAGCCTGCGCGACCAGTGCGACGTGGGACCCCGCAGAGGAAGGTCTCGGGGGGGGGGAGGAAGCTCTGAATGACACGTCCACTGCGGTCGGTGCTACAATACAGAGGAGCGCGAAGGCCCTCATCACCCTGAGACCCGGGTGACCGGCCCGTAGCCAGGTCTGGGAAGCCGTGGGCCCGCGCGGCGAGGGCTGGCCTGTCTGCAGCCGTGCTGCAGTTTTCGGGGCCCACATTCCAGCCAACCCCCAACTCTTTTATGCGACACATTCTGGGATTGAAACAAATCCTTTAAAAGCCAACAACAGAAACTGAATTAAATTGCATCACAAGATAACAGCAATTTCAGCAAGAGCCTCAAACAATCCCACATCTGCCCATCTCAGAAATCCCAACAACCAGCAAGGTGGCCGGGCCGGGGGGAGCCCCCGCAAGTGCCGTGGGGACGGGCGGCACGCCCAGCGGCGGAGGGCGGGGGCTGCGTACCGTGCCCGCGAGCGGCTTCTGCAGGGCCCTCTGCTGACTGCTGTTGATCATCGGGGTCCCACTCCAGGCGGACCCCACGATCCACCAGCGCCCGGTCTGCTCGGCGTTCAGGATGTTGTCCCAGGACACACGCAGCTGCGTTTCCGTGCCTGAGCCGGCGCCACGCACCTGGCGAAGGAGAGAGGCCGGTGAGCTGACTCAGCCGGTCCCGTCTGTCCAACCCCCCAGCCCCTGCTTCTGAGGATGGCATTTCTGCTCTGTGTGCACTGCGACGAGTCGCTGACACCTGGGACGTCACCGCCTGGAGCAATGCCACCGGAGAGGCACACCCCCAGGATTTGTGTCCAAGGTCTCTGGGCCTGCCCCCGACACCCACCCTCTCTGGGAAGCTGTCACAGCAGGGAAGAGGCTCGGGCCCCGAGGCCACAAGGGAGGTCCCCCTGGCTGGGGTGGGGGCGCGGCTGCGAGGCACCGGGCCCTGCTGGGGGCGGCGCTGCTGGATCTGACTAGTGGGCGGCAGGACTCGCCCTGACCGGGCAGCGGGGAGGGTCTTGGCTTTGGCCCCGCGTGGACAACGCCAGGGGGGCTCACGCTGACGAGGCCCCACCCTCCCGTGCTTACACCGCTGACCCGGGTCGGGGTAGAAGGTCCCCTCGGGATTCTGTTGGGCACCCAAGCCCAGCTCCACAGGCCAAGCGTGGAGGGCGCTCGATTCACAGACGCCCCACTCACAGGGTCTCACCACAGACAGAGCTGCCCTCCGACCTGGGGACTCCCACACGGGTGGGGGGCGGGGGCCCCTGACTTGCAGAGCCCACCACCTCCCGCCGGGCACGGCGGCGTCCCACCGGCACGGAGGCTCAGAACCAGACAGAGGCGCAAGCCACTCACCAAACCGCTTTGCAACCTCCTCAGCCTCTGCACCGGCTCGGGGTCATAGCCCGGAATCTTCCGCATGTCATTGTTCTTCAGCGCCAGCATCGTCTGCAGCATGAATCGCACCTTAAAACAGAAAGAGGGAGCCGTCACTCTGCGCAGTCTAAGGACCTGGCCCTCCGACAGGGGAAGAACCAAACCGATCCTGTGCAGGTGGCGGCCGCCGCTGGCGACCCAAGGGGCCCCAGGCGGCCCCAGGCAGCGTCTCTGCGCCCGACGAGCTCCCTGAGCCTCGGCGGTGTTTCCACGGAGATCGCGCTGCTGCCAACCCGGCACTGACTGCCCCCGGGAGCCTGGCCGCCGCCCCGGATGCCCCGGCCCTCGCCTGCTCCCCCCCCGCCCCCACATTGGCGACGTCTTCTTCACTCCTGGCCTTTTCAGTTTTTCAACTTTTACATCAGAAATAAAGGCATACGTGGAGAAGAGCTGCAAGAGCAGCACGGAGAATCCCCAGACACCGTTCCCTAAGAGTCCTCCACCCCCTTCAAGTGCACTCCTACTGTATCCCGGGCTGTGCAACTGTCTCCAGAATTTTAGCTTTCACCATCCCCCTCAAAAGAAGCCTCAAACACATGAACAAGCCGTGCCCACTCCTGCCGACCCCTCGCCCTAGGCAACCGCGAGCCGGGGTGTCTCCGATGACTTCCATGTTTTACACTTGACCCCTGGGTACCCAGTATGGGCGACTCCTCGGGAGCCCCTGACCTGGAGCCTGTGGCCCCCTCAGCAGAGCAGCCAGGGTCTGAGCGCCAGCGCTCCTCAGCCCGGCCTCGCCGCCCCGGGACCCCTTCCCAGGGCTCAGGCCGCTCCTCCCCGGCGCACCCGGGGCTGGTCGCTTCGGGACCTCAGGACTGGGCCGGTCTTCCCTTTCGAGCCGAGCTGCCTCCGGCATGCGCTGCTGCCCGTGAAGGCCCAGGCGGAGGCCCAGGCGGAGGCCCAGGCGGTCCGCCCTCCCCCGCCCCGGTCTGGTCAGGCCGGACCCCTACGCCCACGTCCACTGCAACGGGGCTGCCCCTCCCCGTCAGCGTCCCGGACCCCTGCGGGGCGTCACCTGCCAGGCTACCCCCCTCTCCCACACTGTGGCCAGTGGCCCCGCACACCCACACTTCCTGTGCCATCCGCTCAGAACCCTCCAGGTGCCTCGGGGGGGAAGCCCAGTCCTTGCAGCGGCCTCCCCCCCCGGGGCCCCGCATGCACCGGCCCCCGGCTGCGCGCACATCCCGCGGGGCTTCCCGAGCCCTCTGTCGCTCTCCACCTGCAGGACCGGAAATGAGGCAGGAGCCACGACCAGCCCCATTTTCCAGGGGGGATGCTTGGAAGACTCAGGCCACGGCACCGTGCGGTGGTCACACGGGGACTCCAGGTGGGCTGGCACCTGAGCCCTGAGCCACAGGGCCGTTCTCCATCAACACTTTCTGAATGGGCGGGTGTTAAGTAAACCGTTTCTTAAACTCACAAAACGCCTGAGCTCTTAGTGAAGAAATAAGGTTCATCCACATATTAAAGATAAAGCTGTGAAATCACACAAGGCAGAAGATAACAGGTTATTAGGAAGTGAAACGTAACATTTACCCAAACACTTATTTTTAAGTGCTGGCCAGTTTCTGACACGCAGGCGCGCAAGCAGCAGGTCGGGGGCGCACCCTACCCGGGTCTGGTCCTGGAACCTGCCGCCGGCCCCGCTGGCCTTGGCCTGGGCCTCTGTGATCAGCTCCTTCAGGGACAGCGCGTCATCTTTCCTCAGCGCAAAGCCCACGTTTCTCAGCATGAGCAGGATCAGCTCGATGTCTTTTTCTGTGAAAGTGTCAACAAGCTTCCGGAGAATGTCGAAGACGAGCAGAGCCTGCACCACGTGGAAGTTGTACAGGTGGGCGACGACGGTGAGCAGGTTGTCGCACTCCTTGCCTTCGCTTCCCTGTTTGTAGACGCCATCGAACTTCCGCACCACAGCCTCCAGGAAGTGAGCTCCGACCTGGACGAAGAAAGAGACCAGTGCCATCGCACATACGCGACCATCGCGCCAGCAAGTGACTCTCGGGGGCCCTCCTCCCTTTCAACAGTCTTACGTGTTTGTGTGGAAAGAGTCAGTGTTGGGTTTTTTTTTAAAGAATTTAAAAAAGATTTTTATTTATTTATTTGTAGAGAGGGGAAGAGAAGGAGAAAAAGGAGAAAAAGATCCATGTATGGTTGCCTCTCACGCGCCCCCCACTGGGAACATGGCCTGCAACCCAGGCCTGTGCCCTGCCTGGGAACTGAACTGGCGACCCTTTGGTTCAGAGGCCGGCGCTCAATCCACTGAGCCACCCCAGCCTGGGTAAGAGTCAGTACTTTGAAAAAGTAACACATAAATACACACGTGGCAGGATACACACGCCAACAGGGTGCGTGCTTTCAAACCCAGGCCTGAGAGCACAGCATCCCCAGAAGGCAGGGGTGGTGAGCGCCAAGCCCTCGCACGGACCCGCTCAGGCGCGGCCTCCTGCCGGCACGTTCACTGCGGCGGAGCCTTCGAAGCCGCCAGGGAAAGGCCGGGCGGGCAGGAGGGAGGGCCCGCGCAGGCCGGCTCCAGCTGCCATAGCCCCGAGGGCTGGCGGCGAATCGGCGGGCTCAGCCTGCAAACCCCCCACTGGAGCCCGTCGCTGATGCTCGCCCTGAGGGACGCACCCACACTGGGACCGCTGTGTTACGTTCTGGCAAAACCAAAGAGGGGAAGTTCGAATTCTGCAGACGTCAGGGAAAATTCAAGCGTAAAATACACTCAGGTATGTTCTCAACACACGAATCAAGTTATTTAATGACATCTAAATTTTTAAAAATCTTAAATCTATTTAATGCCTTTAAAATAGAATATAACTTACTATAGCATTTAAAAATAAAACTACCATTCACGTCGCTGAAGTTATTTAGGCATATTCACCAATTCCGACTTTGAACTTGGACACACTCTACAGAGATCTGACTTTGAAGCGGCCCGAGAGCAGCGCGGCCACTGAGCCCTAGGCCCCGCGCAGATGGTCCCAACCCCGGGGGCAGGCCTACCTCGACCCCCACCGTGCGGTGCAGGATGCTGACCAGGAGGACGTGCTCCATCAGGAGGCGGCCGGGCGCGGCCCAGCCCGGGGCGCAGGCGCTCAGGAGGACGCCCGTGAGCGTGTCGCTCACGTCCTTCCGGCTGTGGGCCATGTACAGCTCCTCCAGCTGCCCACTTATGGAGGCCATGTTCGGCTCGCTCAGCCTGCACGGGGCGGAGAGAGGGCGGCAGGGCCACCGCAGATCAGGGACTGCTTCTTGGGTCGGGAGAGAACCGAAGACAAAGCCCTGCACCCCGCCCACCCGCACGCCCCATTTGACATACATGCCGCCCCACGAACCCAGCGCAGACTGTGCACCGTGCTCCCCGGGACCTGTAGTAGTGAGGCCGCTGTCCTTCCAGGTGACGTGCAGCCACAGGGAGGGACCACCTAGGCCCCCCTCAGCCCAGGCGGTGCTGCGGGCACTTCAAAGGCGCCCGGCCCCGCGGCCCCAAGGAGTCCTCCCCGCGCGCCAGTGCCTGCTGCTGGGGAGAGGTCTGCTCCCCGCTCTTCTGCTAACAAACAGCTTTCGTTGCTAAACACGGAGACAAGGTCACCCTGCCTCCTAGGGGGCCGGGGATCCTGTGCTCACACATGTCACTGAAACGGCTTGTTTGGAAAAATTACAGGATGCACCATGGAAACAATGCTCTGTTTTCATTTAAAAGAAAAATTTTAAAAAGCAACGGGGGAGCGACCAATAGGGGCCAGAAAGGCGGGCGGTGATGGGCCGGTTCCCTTTTTTCAACTGAATTTATCGGGGTGCCCCTGGTTAGTAAAATGACCTAAGTATCAGCGTAGGATTCCCCGCAGCATCGCCTGTACATCGCGCTGTGCGTTTAGCACGGCTCTGTCTCGGCCGCGGGCAACACCGCAGAGCCACCCACGTGGACAAGGGCAGGCCTGCGGGTGGAGGGCCACCTCGGGCTGCGAACGCGCCTCTGTGGGGAGGGGAGCCCGCCCCGCCGCCCTGCTCCCGGGGCCTCTCAGAGTAGCCACGCGGGTACCGGCACGGCTCTCCAGCTCGGAAGGGTTCCGAGCACCAAAGAGAAGGGGAGAACTCTGCTCCCAGGCTGGGTCTGGCTGCATCAGGACGGGGACAGGAAGGAGACCAGCGGCAGCCGCAGCCCTGCCCCCTCACTATGTTTTAATTCCCGGGATAGTTCCCACGTTTTTAGAAAACAGACAAGTTCGTTCAGTGACGACGGAACAACGCTGCGAGGCTACCTGTTAATGAGGCCTTGGATCTGCTTCTTGAGCCGTTCCCTCTCCTCCCTTTTCTGGGCGTCCACAGGCTCCTCAGCCCTCCGCACGTGAGGGGGCACGTACTTCTCGCCGTCGTCACTAAGGCCCGGCTGGGAGGACAGAAAGGTGTTACAAAGATCTACAGGGAAGAAACCCCACCCTCCCCCTTGCTGGTCCACACTCAGATGCTAAGTTCCCAGGCCCTGGCAGAAGCCGTGACCACTGCCCAGGGCCGCTTAACGAAGGCCAAACACGCACCGAGCGCCCAGATCAGCCCCCGATGAGCGCTGCTCCCTGCATCCCCCCGCCCCCGGCGGCCCTCCAGGCCCGGCTGTGCCCCTCGGACCTGCCGACAGGGCCCGGCCGGCTACACTCTGCCCGGGTTTGACTTGCGTGGCGTGTGGCGTGGCACAGCGGCACGCACGCAGCAAACGTATCGCCCGTTTTGGAGGGAAAATGTTCTAAAATAATTTCAAACTTGTTGAAAAATAGTATCTAAATTTACACTATCAAATCAGAATCAACCCACCGGTCGCTCTCCCCCCTGATTATCAACCGTGAGGGTCCAGAATCGAGATCGCTGATGAACACACCCTGACACCTAAGTGACAGCCTGTAGGAAATGTCTGTGCGGACCATCCCTGCCGTCCGGGAGCTTGAACTTTGAGAAAGCACTGCCGTGCGGGGACACAGTTACTCCGAGACACCCCTCAGTTCACACCGTGCGTCCGTTCCACCTCCACGGGTTGTGAGGGAAAAGCGGGAAGAGCCCGAAACGATGCTCCACGGCGGGGGCTGCAGCCCTTGGGAGCTGCCCCATGGGCCGGGCGCGAAGGCACCAGGGCGAGAAGAACAGACAGCACATCTCCCCGACAAGGGGAGGGTCCCAGCGACACCTGACGTTAACAGGTGAGCGCCAAGGGGAGAGCGAGAGGACAGGCCATGCCGGCGGAGCAACCCGGGGTGGCCCCCTCTCCTTCAGGGGGTCCGTTCCAAGCCCCCGCGGGTGCCTGTGAGTGCGGACGGTGCTCACCCTTACACACAGACCTTTTCACTCGAAAGACGCACTGCTCGCTTCTTGCTGGCAAACCCAAATTGGCAGCACAACTACGCTTACGCTTTGGGGCCATTATTAAGTGAAAAGAGGGTTACTTGGACACAAATAATGCAATACTATGACACCTGATCCGAAAACTCAGGCGTTGGGGCTGCTCAGTGGCTCACGGGTGGGCGGCAAGTACAGCATCGCCCTGCAGGACAAACGGACGATTCCTGGACGGCGCAGGGTGGCACGAGATTTCATGACCCGTCTCAGCGCACCACGGCTGACAGCAGGCAACCACCCCAGAAACCAAAACCGTGGCAGGGAGCGGGGCGGGGGGGCGGCAGAGATAAAGAAAAGGGCGATTCCACCGGCTGCTTCCGGGTGCATGCCGGGGCGGAGCCGGCGCAGGCCTGCCCCGATGGCGACCCTGGTCTCTGCCGCGAGGCCCTGAAGCCGGTGCTGTAGACGAGCTTAGTGTGTTACAAAGGCTCCAAGGGCAGCGGGAAGGAAAGGCCTAGGTGAGGGAAGAGGGGGCGCGGGGCAAAGCAAGGGGGGGCCGCCACAGTCAGGGCCGGAGGCTGAGGCAGGAAACCCGGAACGGCCGTGCCCCTCCGCACAACCGCTGGGAACGGCCATTCGGTCCGTGGGATAAAAGGCCTCTACGGAGACTTTCTCCCTTAACGCCTCATGACGGGTATTTAAAACATGCAAGTAGGAGACTAACCGATTTACCCACACTCAGCTCCAACACAAATACACCGATCGTGCCCCTGGGTCCCACGCCGGTCCCCACCATGATTTGAGGGGAGTCCCAGGAAGCTGAACCGGTTCCCACGCTACCTGATGTGCCCCGTCAGCAACCTCCGGGGGACTTCCACGCCTGCCTTCGTCCTCCGCAAAGCGGACTCTCTTCTCCCCCTTCGTTCTCGCTTCTGCTGCGGCCTTTTTTCGCTTTTCCTTCTGTACCTCCTCTTCCTCCTCCTGCTCGTCCTCGTCGTCCTCCTGCTCCCCGCTCGCGTCGCCGGGGTCGCTCTCGCCGTCGCTCTCGCCCCCGGCGTCGCTCTCGCCGTCGCTCGCGTCCCCGGCGTCGCTCTCGCCGTCGCTCGCGCGGGCCGTCTGTCCGGCCTCCCCCTCCTCCTCACTGCTGCTGTCACACAAGGCACTGCCGCCCCCGGACCCTAGGGCTCCCAGGATGTAGTCGAGCCCGTCGCGGGCGAAGCTGAGCGGCACGGAACTGGAGTCGCCCTTCCTCCTGCGCTTGTTCAAGCCCAGGCAGCGCTCCAGCTTCCGGATCTCTCGGTCCTCCTCCTCGTTGGCCGCCAGGAGAGCCCGTTTCCGGGCGGCGCTGGCGGAGAGCCGGGTGTCCCCGGGGTTGGCCCTCGCCTTGGTCGGGGCCGCCTTGGTCTTGGTCTTGGCCTTGGCCGGGGCCGGGGGACACGGCGGGGCCTGTGGCGGCCGTGGGGCCCGACGCGGCGGGAACGGCCAGCCGCCCAGCCCCTCGGCGCCCTCGGTCCGGTGCCCACTCTCCGTCCCGGCCACGCTGCCCGGGCCCTGCGCGGGGTCCGCTGTCCTCTGCAGCCGGCGCGCCTTCCTCAATTGTCGCTTCTCCTTTCTCAGCTCCCTGCGGCTCTTTCTGCCGCCGGGCCGCGAGCGCCGCTCCGCCCGGGACCCCTCACGGCCGCCGGGGGGCTGGCCCTCGGAGGCCGACTGCACGAATTCCTCCACCGCTAGCTTTAGCCGCTTTAGGGCTCCGGGCCCGCGTCCGCCCGGACGCTTCCCGCGGCCCATGCGCCGCCGGCAGCCGCCGGGGACCGGCGCTCCCGCACGCGTGGACGCCGCCATCTTCCGGATGCACCGGAGTTGACTTCCGACAGAGGCGGGACTTCCGGGAGGAGAGCGGTGCGCTGCCGCGGGACAGAGCGGCGCCCCCTGCCGACCGGAGGGCGGCGGCTCAGGCAACCGCGCAGCCGCAATGTGTCTCCTACTCTCAGAGCAAGCTGTAAACTGCCTTGGTGGGGAGCGCAGACGCACCTACTCACCTACCGTATCTGGCCGTGTATAATGCGCACCCACGCTTATGCAAATATACTGCGGGGTTACTATAATACCCATTATTATACCCATGGTATATAATCAATATACCCTCGTATAATGCACATCCTTATGTTTCCCTGGAAAATTTGGGTTAAAAAGTGCGCATTATATATGGCAAATACATCCCTACGGAGGACGGTAAACAGGCCTCTTCGACCCTGGAAGGAACCTAACCACTGTGCTTGGCAGCAGGGCGTGCATCTTGTCTTTTCTCACGTGGGTGCATGTACCTGGGTGCGAACACTCCCTCAGGAGACTCTGTCCGGTGGTGTCTGCGTGTATTTAGGAGCATTTGCGGGGAAGCGTCATCCTCCCTCACCCTCAGGCCTCAGTGTCTCCGTGGGCTGTGTAATGCCTCTGCGTGGTGGTCCACATTTGCTCCTCTGTTGACAGCCATGTACGGGGGAACCATTGCCCTCCGATCCCTGCCTGCCGAAAACTGTCCCCGTGGCCTCATTTGGGAATAGGGCCTTGCAGGTGTAATGGGGTTCAGAGGAGGTCTTGGACTTGGGGAGGCAGGCTCCTGTAGGAGGGAAATGGGACTCACGCACAGGGAGAAGTCCGCGCGACCCGGGACACAGCGGTGTGGGGGGCGGCGGCGGTGGTCTCCAAGCCCGGCAGGCAAGGCTGGCTGGCCGCCACCAGAAGCCGGGAGGGACCCGGACTAATTCCCGCCTGCAGCCCCAGGAGGGACCAATCCTGGTCGCACCCTGGCTTCTGGGAACGACTATTTCACAGGCTGAGGTGGGAGCCCTGTTGGCCCAACAAGCCTCAGTGCGGAGGCTCCCGGCCCCGCCCAGCGGCCCAGACCACTGCCTCCCAGTTCCTGGAGAGAAGCAATGGGGGAGGAAGGGAAAGCCAGCTGCGGCCCCCCGTCTGGGGGTGCAGAGCAGCAGCAGGGGTGCCCGGGGCCTGGCCCACCCCTGCCTCCCTGGGCCCCTCCTATCCCCAGCCCAGGCTGGGGGCCTGAGGCTAACTTTCGCCCGCAGGGCAGGCCCGGGGGCAAGTTTGAAGGGCTGTGCAGGAAAGGCCAGAGCAGGCCGCCCGGCGGGTCCCTGCCTCAGAGCTGTACCCAAGCCTCCACCCCGAGCCCACGCCGCGCTCTCAGCGATTTCTCTGGTGCTGACTGGGGACCGGGAGCCAGGCCCCCTTGCTGCGGGCCCCGTTGAACGGGACCCAGATGAATTAAACCCATTTACTCACACAGAGTGCCCAGAAGGGGTCTGGCGCCCAGTGCGGGGTCTTCCTCCCACTCAGCTGCCTTCTGGGGACCCTCCTCTGAGCCCCGGGTGCCTCTGCTGCAGCTTCCCCAGGGCAGGGCTTTCTTTGCTCTGAAGCCAAGGCTTCTCGGACTCTGGAGAATTGCTGTGGGCAGATCTTGGGGGTATTTTTCAACTCCCGGATCTTAATGTGAAGGCGGCCTCTGGCCGTGATTCTGGCTGCTTCTCACCTGGAGGGGCCATGCCCTCCCAGCCCGCACACGGCTACGGCCCCCTCCACTGAGCCCCCACCCCGTCGCTCCCCAGGGCCCCTCCCCAGGCATCCAGGGCAGCTGGGGGACAGGAAGTCCTGTTTCCCCGGTCCCGGCGAGAGGGCTGGTTGCAAACACAGAACAGCCCGCTGATGACGCAGCGGTTGATGGGGGCACAGCAGGGCCAGCTTTAGGGCCCGGGTGGCGGGGTGTGCACACACGGCGTGCGTGTGCATGTGTGAGCGCGTGTTCCTGCGTGTGTCTGTGCGTGCGAGAGGCAGGCTGGAGAGGTGGGCAGGGCCAGGCGTGGAAGGTCCGGTGCCAATGCTGTATGTCATGTCTATTCTGGGGGCACCGGGAGTTGTTTTAAGTGGAGACGCGGGAAAGTGGGGGCAGGGCGGTGAGCTGCCCCCATCTGTGATCTGCGTTTGGAAACGAGCGCCCGGCCGCCTGCACGACTGACCCAGGCGGGTCAGAGTGACCGGCAGGCGGAGGGCTGTTGCGGCAGACACTGGCCCCCCAGCCTGGAAAGAGCCGGGGGCGGGGGCTTTGCCGGATGGCTCTTTAAAAATAATAGCACGAATGATCTATTAAGAGCAATATAATACACAACCCAAAGGGCAGCCCTTAAGTCGGCGTCTCAGCCCGTTCAGGCTGCTGTGACGGACGCCGTGGATTGCGGATGTTCATCCCGCACAGTCTGGAGGCTGGAGCCCAAGATCAAGGCCCCGGCAGGCTCCTTGTCTGCTGGCGGACCCCCATCCTCGTCCATGGCTGGCGTCCCCTCGCAGCGTCCTGGCAGGGCGGGAGGGCAGAGGGAGCTTTGGGGGGGCCTCTTTCACAGGGGCGCTGACCCCGTTCACGACGGCCCCACCCCCACGACACCTTCCGAAGCCCCCGCCTCCTAACACCCTCAACGGCCCAGATTAAGATTCGACATGTGAACTGGGGAGGCACCAGCATTCAGCTCGTAACACGCAGGTTTACAAACCTTTTTTCGTTTTCATGCATCAAAGTACTGATGATTTAGAAAAACTCTTTCTGATAAAACTAGCTCTGCTGATCATAATCAATGGAAAGATTCCAGCTCTCGATGTATCGCAGGTCGGGAAGTTAAGCTCCCGCAGAAGCTCGGCTTCGGGACACGCCAGGCAGACAGGAGCCTCAGCACAGTGGCTTTTCCCCAAGAGGAGCACGCTGTTTGCCTGCTCGGGGCGGGGGGGCTTAGGTCCGTAGATTCCTCCTGCGGCGGCCTTGCCAGGGCCGCTCCGGACGCGGCACTGGGGCCCTCCCCGGGCCGAGTCAGGGTCTCCAAGTGGCCGCCCTCCCCCCATCATTGGGTGCGTTGACATCGGAGCATCGCTGAGTCCACATCCCGCATCCCATCCTCTCTTCTGTGGCTTTATGGGCATAATTTATGTAACCAATATGCTAACGGTTAATATCTGTTTTCTTTTAAAAACACTTTTTTGCGCTATTAATGCCTGTGTGTGCGTTCGCAGAACCGTGCCAGTGTTTCACAGGATAGCGTCCTAGGAACTGCTTAGGGGAAGTGTGTCAATGTGATTTTTTAATGAGCAGAGAATTCCAGGTTTCCATCCCTCCGCCGCCCCCGGCCCCCACCCCCGACCCCGTGCCAGCTTGAACTCACACTGAGAGTGAGCGTCTCCTCTTCCCCATGCCCCCTGCCCCCTTTTTCTTGACTTGTCTCAGGTTTTCCTCTTTCCCCATCCACTAGGGGAAAGGTCGGTCCTGGGAGGGCTGGGCTGCAGCGTCACCCAACCCCTTCTCCAGCGTCCTTGACCAGCCCGCCACCGAGCCCCGTCCACCCCGAGGGAGGACGTTCGGCCCGACACTGGGCGCTGCCGCGGCCGTTTTCTCCCACCCGTCTGACCGCGGTGCCCGTGCAGCCCGCCCTCGGGTCCCCTCCAGGCCGCACGCCCGCCCACTCCCAGCCGCACCTCTGCACGCCGTGCCCGCCCGAAGTGTCCCCGAGGCTCCCTGCTGCCCCCAGCCAAGGACGCAGCCGCGTTCGGGACACCAGGGCCCGGCACAGACCCTGGGTGCGTCTCGTCCCCAAGGCGCCCGGCCTCCTCCGGGGCGCCCTCGAGGGATGGGGGGGTGATCAGTTGTCTCCCACCCCCACTTTGTGTCTGCCGAGCCAGAGTGCTGCTTCTGGCCCTTCCGCTGCCTGCGGCGTGTTCCTGTCCCCAGCAGGCACTCAGGCATTTGTTGGGCAAAGAAACGAGTGCGCAGATGCGTCGCCGAGGCCGCGCGGGGGCAGAGATGAGCCCCAGCGCCCCACCCCGCACCCTCACTCTGGCCCTCCTGGCCGGTCGCTGTCTGCGGAGCGGCCGAGCCCAGAGCCGCCAGGCCCGCACGCTGCCCGCACAGCTCTCACCCGCGGCCGCCGGTCGCCCGAGACCCGGAGGAGGACGACTCCTTGGGGGAGGCTCTAGCGAAGCCTGGCCCCAGGCCGAGCTCGCCCCCCGGGCCTCGTGCCTGTTGTTGACTGTGCGTCCGCTGTCGGACGCGCACCCCCTGACCCTGCTCACCAGATGACGAAGGGGACCGCGCTGGGTCGGAGGCCTGAGCTGACATCTCTCGCCCGGCGGCGCAGACGAGCGAGACAAGTCACAGCTACGGGTTACGATGCGCAGCACGGTTAGGCTACCAGCGGGCTGTTTATCACGTTGCGACGTGGGTCTATAAATAAATCTGAAGGCAGTGGTATGGCTGGGCCTCTGTGGGCCCCAAGTTGAGGCAATGATCTGTAAATATATTTGTCTGTGTCATCGATCCCCTTCTGACGAACGGCGTGGCCTCCGCTCCGGCTACCCATCTCTCTCCCGATCACCGAAGTCCCCGCGGAACCTCTGTTCCGGGCGCGGGCCGCCCGTCAGCGCCCACGTGCCCGGGAGACGCAGAGCCCAGTCTTCTGGCTGCGTCTCAGCTGCGCTGTTGATTGTCATCGGCCCCTCCCGCCCCCTCTCCCCACGTGCAGCGTGTGTGTGCGCTGCGTGGAGACACCGCCCCTGCTGGCCCTGTGTGCCGCCTGCGTGCCCCCGCCTTAGGGGCGGGTGGTTACGCTGTGGCACGGGCACACTTGGCTGTCTTGGTCACAGCCAAGCCCTTTCCGCTGGCTGTGCGGGATTCCTCGCCCCCGTCTTTGCTCCCGTTGTTCCTGTGAGAGGCTCCGCCGCCGGGCAGTTTTGTGTCCACGTGGGCCTGGCACGAGGCTCCGGGAGCGCGCCTGTCCGCTGGTCGCTTGGAGTGGGGGGTGCT